TGCCTGCCGGCCAAGCAGCTCGCGTCCCTCGGCCGCATCCACATAGCGCCTGACCTCGGCCCCGGCGGCTGGCCCTATGACATACGCCAGATGCTGTCGTGGGCGTTCGAGCCGGCCGACCAGGGCATGCTGGAAGAGCTGGTGGCGCGCGGCCGTGCCGACGCGCGCGCGTGGGCAGAGGCGACAGGCGTCAGCGCGCTTGCGGCGGCGAGGATGGGGGCAGCTGCAGGGGAGGGCGTGGGGGCGGCGGCGGCGGTGCCTTCCGCGACCGCAGGCGGCGGCCTGGTCCTGCCATAGGCGCGTGTGCGCGACTTGGGCCGCCCGTCCCCGCTGTACCCCTGTACCCGTACACCCAGCCATCCACATTTGAATCAAATGGGGCGCGTTGAAACCCCGCTCCCATCACTTTATCGAGATTTTCTTGGGTTCGATATTGGCTCAAGCGCTGCCTTGCTCTGTGACCCAAGTCTGGGCTTTGGGGGTGCATCACAGATGAGGAGTGCAAAGGAATTGAGATGAGTCCCAGCACCAAGCCGCGTGCCGGCACATATCGTGGCACCAGAGAGATGAGGCCCCCCTCTTCCCACGAACCTCGGCTTTTGCTGCGGAAGTTCGGGGTGGCCGTGCCAGGCAGCCAGCAGGGCCCCCCCCCGTGTGAGCTTGATTGACCCATGCACCCACTGGTGTAACCTTGCAGCGCACGTGACTGGACCTTGCGAGTCGTGAACCCCAACTAGTTACAGGGGCCTCCAGGGACACATGTATGCTGCCACAGAAGTTGCCGCGACAGCGGCGGCAACGCCGCCGTCCCAACAGCGCGTGCTACGCAAGGCGCCGACATCAGCGGCATCGACTCCGGCTCCTCCCCTGGTCCCCACAAATCAAATTTGCAGACCAACAATCCGATAACATGGCAGCGGAAAACCACCATTCTAGGCCTTTTACATGAGCTCATCACTCAGAACGCCAACGTCCGCATATTCACTGTCAACAGTCACCAGAGCCGAGGTGTTGTTGACACCGGCATGCGTGACAGCAGCGTCATGGTGCGGCGGTTGCCACCACCAACAAGGCAATACATCGCATGTAGCCAGGGCTCTGTGGTCGGCTAGGTAGTTTATATGGTATAGATTAGTTGGATGTTGCCCAGGGCTGCCTAATGCTGTGGCAGTGCGTTGATGAAGACTGAGCCGGCGAAGATTGTTTGGTGCCGTATGCTTGCACGCACCTCCAGCTGCGTCAGGAGGGCTGGTGGTGGTGGCGCTCGGGGGGCGGGCGGCGTTGCCGCTCAGGGGCAAGCCGTCCCTTCAACTGGCTGCTGCTTGTCACGGGTCGCCTAGGCCCGCCGCGTCGGGCCCCTGGCTTCTTCCTGAGCAGCAGCGTCTTCTGTGGCACTGGGAGCACGGCGCCAAGAACCGCGGCGCTTCTCGCTGCCCCGATAGGCGCCCCTGCTGGGTAACTGGGCCTGTCTTTCACCTAGCATTTCTGTCTCCCTTTTCGAACAGACACAAGAAATGACTCCTGCCCCTATAGATTTCTGGGGTGTCATCCTGCCCCCATCAGTAGTCGGGGTGTTATCCTGCGCTTCTGGTGTGCAGTAAGCGGGGAGTCACGGACCGTGAATCCTTGGTGCTGACACCCACGAGCGAAGTAGCATTTGGAGTGTTCACTGTCAAGAACAGGTATTCAGCTTTGAACAGCCTCCTTGATGGAGTTGCGGCGCCATGCTTGATGACATGGTGTCAACCCAAGTGGCCTGCCAAGCCACCCGTCGAGATGGGTGGATCTGTCACATCAGAGCCGTTTTGCCAACACGCAGGCCTTGCATGGACCTAGTCAACTCATTCGTTTTGTGGGTAGCGCACCTGGAAACTTGAGATGGGTCGTGCAGGTTCGCAGTTCCATGAGTAAAGCAACCTCCAACTCGTGGACCTCTAGTCGCAGCAGACTCTTCTCAAGCCTCCGCGCTTTTTTTTCAGAGCTACGCATAGTAGAGAGTCGCATGAAAAGTTCGTCGGCTCGACGATTCATCACCGTGCGGTAGTTCTGTCGTTGCCGCAGTGCGCCCACGATGCCTTCCACCATGCTGAGCGCGCGGTTCACGCTCGCTTCTGTGGTTGTGGTGGTGTTGCTGCTGGGCAATATGCTAAACGGGGTGCTGGGCGCCAGGTATGCCAGGCAGAGATAGCGGGGG